TCGGGGATTCGAGCGTGGATTGAGAGAGAGAGAGAGTAGGATGAGGAGAGTAGGATGAAAGAAAAACAAAAGAACTGCCATGCCATGAGTCAAAAACGGATGGAAAAAAATCGAAGGCGAGGATTTGCGACTGGCAAGTTAAACGGTATTCGAACGTTTACCCATTACTACACAACTTTAATTTACTTTATTGCAGTTGGTTCGTTGGAAAGGATAAACCGTCTCCAGACTTTATCATGATCATGATCCTGAAGTTCCTTGAGAGTTTGATATGAGAGACATCCCCAGCGTCATTCGGCGTTTTTTTATTTTGAGGGCGCACCTCTAGCCCTTGCAAAACCAAGTGTGAATTGCAAGGTACCAGAAATTAATCCCTCGTCTCCGAAGTAAGGGAGTCAATGACTTAAGTTTCAAAATGTCATTCAGATCGACCTTTGTCACGACACCAGCATTGAGCTTATGGGGCTTTTAAACAGGAGCCAGGTGATCAGCATGAAACCCACCACTTCCTGGTAGTGCCACCGCTGTTCGTTCGTGACTGTTTATTTGTTACGGTATGCTCCAACTTATTCACAGTTAACCTTTTTCGGTGAATGTACCCCCCGATCCACAACTCGGGGACTCGACTGGCAGCATTCAGCTCTGCACAAGCCGAGGGTATCCTATACTTTAACTGGAACACAGGATGAACATGCTTAATTTGTGTACCATGCTGAATAATTTCTTTGTGTAACCCCGATAAGCACACGTCAGCCAGACTCAAGGTCACCAGTGCAATATGTGTGTGTGTTGAGCTACGGTCTAAATCGATGAAAAGGAGGAAATGAAACATCTGTCTAATGATAGCTACTGAAACTAGGTTAGTATGTATGTGGTCACGATGGATAAAATTAAGAATTCTTTTCGGGAACGTTATTCATTACGGCGAACAAATTATGCTTCAGTAAACAGCATACTCTACCACGTTCCATCCAGTAGATCATCATTCGGGGAAGACAAAGAGGAAACTCATGGGTGAATGGCTGAAGGTACATTTCAACTCTCACTTAATGTTTTGAAGGATACACTCTAGCCTTGATCAAACCAATTGCGGATTGCAGGACAGATATATTTTAGTAATTGGTTACCAGTAGTTATCACAGCGCAAAGTCGATGAACACGGGCATAATACAGAAATCCATGCATATCTTTTGGTCAGATAGGTACTCCCGGTGACCGTTGGGTCAGGCAATAGATTTCGTCCGCCTGCTAGGACTGGGCTACCTTTGAATACCGAAGAGTTCAGACTTCGGTTACGCTCAGATTTTTTTGACCCATCATCAGTTCAGTGGTCTTTTAGTTATGTAATCGGTGAAGCAAGCCCCAACCGCAGTGAGCAACTTGTGCTGGTTAGGTAAATGAATGGCCAGATGCCAATATCGTGGGAATTCAAACGTGATTCCTTAGCTTAGTGGGCAAACTGATCGCGATATCTTGACAGGAGTTTGAATGCGGTCGAAGTTTATCATCGATAAACTGTATATTGATCATTTAAATGCACCAAAGATAGCTGAACCCAATCGGCAGTTTATCACTCCGAATGAGAGCGCATTCTATCTCTCGAGCCACGTATATAAGTAAACCGAAAATATTTTAATTTGGAAGACTATGTGGAACGTGTGCAGACGAACTAACGCATTCGCTTAATTCACTCGCAACCTGATTGCCTAATTCGTCTTTCATGCCATGATTTCCAAATACACTTACCGTAATCCAAACGTGTGGGTTTGTTCCAAGTTGTACAATGAACGCATTTTGTCCTCTGAGCACAGGACAACAGACCGATCCAAAAAATTCTTAAAAAGAAGAACAGAGAATAACACATATACCTCCGCGGTAAGCTTTGTAATGTTGATGCATGTGTAATGAGCTTAGAAGATCCATCCGTGTTCAAGAAAAAACGGGAAGCGTGCAGATGGAGTCTGAAGAATGATTGGTTCATATGAATACTCGTTGTGTCACAAGTAAGTTTTCGAGAAAGTCGATTTACAAATAGAGCCAAACCAAGGTTCAACCGGAACAGTACACTCAAAATGTTTTCCGGTAAAAACCGGAAAAGGTGAGACAGGCTTTCGATTTGAGTTAACCGATGATAACGGTATATGTTCTTTGGTTGATGTCGGATTAAATTGAATGGCTGACGATCTATGAAAACTGAATCTGAACCAACATAAACTGGCCAGCCGGTTCAGTCCAGGTGTGAGCTGCTCAACTTTTATCCTTTTACACAAATACATGAAGGCACTCCGTTCTAAATCTGGGTAGTATTCATCAACAAGTATAGTCCGGTTCTGTCACCCTGATCTAGGAATTGAATGAGAACGGAAATTCTGCTGTATGTCACATTGTGAGACGGTTCGCATTGCACATTCCAAGACATTCGCACTCTTCCAATAAACTCCATCAATGAAAAATCCCATAAGGCTACAATAGGATGGGCAACCTCGGATCACCGAAATCAAGCCATATTGACATACAATGCTAAATCCTTACTGTACAGATCAACTAATTCAACACGTCAGTTAATTCCACATTCACTTGGTTTTGACTCAATGCCTTCCCTCCGTTTGCTCCCTCACTCACCTTTGATCATCGCCCCCGGACCATTTCATATTCACTCTTGAGCAACCCACTTGGCCTCAACCCAGTTGAGATCCTTCAATAGACACATTGGTATCTGTTGCTTCAATTAGGCGTGCGTGTGTTTGTGTGAAATTGATCATAGTGTCAAAGGTTCAAGTGATTGCACACGTGTTTCGTTTCTTATTGTTAGTCATATTTAATGTTATGTAATGGCATGATTACATTGATATCTGTTCATCCCCCCCAGCCGTCAGCACTTGTGAGTTTATTCGTATACAGCCTGATATGATATGAGATAATCCATGTCCCCACAACTGTCAGCATTCGAGCATCATTCTCGCCATATACGTCCCCCCTCCACCGCATAAAATTTATTGCTTATTATGCCCTTCCGTTTCCTTCCCTTGTTTTGCCGTTTTATCGACATCGCTTAGTTNCCATGTCGATCGCCGAACCCCTATGCGTATTACCAACACAATAGCCCCGGGACTGAGTGACCCTGGTTGGTCAGTTCGCCCCGTTGAATTACTTTGTTTCCCTTGATGTTCCTTATTCTATGGTCTGACGGCGCCTAGCGAGTGATTTGACTCGGTATCCCACAACATTTTGATTTATCCTGCCTGGTAACTGAGCCGGATTGTTCATAACTGGAGGTATGTTGAGCATATTGCCTGTTTATCCGTATCTAATATATGTAGATTATGGAACTCCTGTTCTGATTGCCTGGACGTGCGAGACATTTCTCTGCGCATCACTCTATCACTGGATACCAATCCGGTACATTAACCCTCGGCCGTAACCCGCCATTGATAGTGACAATCAGCATCTGGCAAACATTTAAATCAAATGATCACACACTTCTAAAATGGCATTCCGTTTTCCTCATGCTTTTCATTCCCGAGTTGCTTTATTACTTTATTCATCTGTGTACTTTATCTTAGATTTTATGAGATTGATTTGATAGTGGGATAGTGAGCAACGTTTCTTTGATAAATGATCAAGTGAGTGGGCATATAAAACGAAACACCTTAATGTTTAATTCATCAACCAATTCATATTCGATCGACAAACTGATATTGAACTTATTGTTCTATAAACCAGATAATAGATCCGACGGATCCGACGTCTGGGCGAGCAAAATGCTCTATTTTTATTATGTTTATGCGAGGCATCTCGGAAATTTATATCATTCTACCGTTTTCCGAATAAAATCATCCTGACGAGCACAAATGTCTCCTTTCGTCAATGATCCTTCCAATTTGCTTAGCCATTTTTTAATACACCTGAGGTGAGGTGCATATATCACAACCCTCTTATTACTCCCAGATCCATGCATCAATACAATATCATTTGTATAATAAACCATGCAACTTTGGAATGACCCTAAACACCGATTGAATAGAAGTTTCATTCATGCAGAGACTTGATTTTCGTCTACTTCGAATGAGGAACAGAGTAGTTGTTCTCTTGATCATGAAGCTAAGGAATGAATTGTACACGGAGGAAAATCCCCAAAGCCTAATCGAAAGAACAGCGCATAGAAACAGACATGTGTTCATGTGTTTTCTCATGTGCATGTGAACACCGAAGCGGCAGACAAAGAAAGCGATTGCACTCACCCATAACGAGTCCGGTAACGGGAGTGATGTTGCGTTCATTGTGCTGGTACTTTGTGTTCGCGCACGAGCAACCAGGGCGCAAATCCCCTCAAACGAACTGCCGAGTTTCACCAAGTTGATAAAGGGCTTTAACAGAGCACAACGGGACGCACGAAATGGATAACAATCGCAAGCAAGTATTGCGGACACATTGTATCTGAACTCATTTTCATCATATCTGCTAAACGTTTTCGTTCGACTGCATCTACATCAACATTTGCAAGCTTCCAAAAATTCGCTGGAGTATCCAGAGATTCGGTACAACGTGCAGGCTTGGTCCGATCATTAGTCTAAGAGTGTGCACTAGGTTTCTAACTAAAATAAACGGTGTGTTTGCGGGAAATGCGAAGAAAGTTGAAACAATCATGTAGGATAGATCATTAATACGGAATAAACTAATTGAATCACGACAAGGAATCAAGTCATCCAAAACTTGTTTGACTTGCATCGCATTGCATTTGTAAATGCTATATTGTGCTTTTGGTTACTCATAAGTAGTCAAACGACATTGCTCTCAATACCGACAAGAACAAGACCAACGAAACACAGAAGGAATGTCAAATGACTATTCGTCGTGTATATAGCAAATGAAGCCTAAGTTTAAAGCTCGGAAGCACTGGACAGCTGTTTCGATCTGGTTGGGTCTCATTAGCACTGCGGATCGAACCCGGGACTTCATGGGCAGAACGCAAGCGTGCTACCCACTACACCACCGGATAGCTGATCCGAATGATTTTTCATTTTCCATTTACACGATATAGCACAGCCCATCTTTGAAAGTTTGTTGCTGGCCAAGGACCCTGCTCAACTCAGCACTAAACTCCAGGGTTATGACTCGGTTGGAAACATTCACAACCTGACTGATTATTTCACGTGGGCACTGGAGGATTTGGTAGCACGCTTGCGTTCTGCCTATGAAGTTCCGGGTTCAATCCCCAGTCGGATCGATGGATTCGCACTGCTGATGAGACCTAAACAGGTCGAAACAACTGTCCAGTGCCTCCTAGATTTACAGTTCACCGTTCATTTGCTATACACACGACGAATTGTCATTTGAAATTTAACCAAATCCTCCATTACCCACAGAACGATTTTGTTTGACCGAAAATCTTACTAAATAACCTGGATGAAAATAAAATCACTGAATCAGTCTTGTCGAAGTACCATGGTACCATGGTTTGGAATAATCTACACAATGTAAATACATGAAGAGTAAGTATAGTGATCCCCACTATGAGGACTACTATGCCGCTTAAGAGTATCCCTTCTTCGGTCAATTTACACGTAACAATTAGCTCCAACCTGACTACAATACAATGCTTCACAGAGGACGCGATCCTTAGTCCGGTAAGTCGTCCGACCGGAGGTTATTCAAAAGTATTTGCGAGATACAGTGTTCGTTTTCTGCTATTTTGCAGTTCGCATTTGGCTGCACAATGATGAGGCATGCATCCTCGAACACAAATGGCGAACGGTAATCGGGGATCCATCTAATATGAAGTTCCCACGATTTCTCCACTTTAGGACATGCATAATACAGCAAAATCCGATATGGAATATTTAGTCTCCGAAATTCGAGTATGGGAGAGCGTTTTGATCACCGTCCGTACCATTTACATCCCCAGCTGCTGCGCACAGATAGCGTCCGTGGGCAACGTTTATATGAAGTGGTCGAAATCAAACACTTCCGTAAGATAAAGGCAAAGAAACCCAACATAAGTCAAAAGATATCGTGTTGCGAAGAGTAGATAGGGTTGATAAGTGACTAAATTTGATTCAAGCAACAAACAGAATTGTCTAGTAATTGGTGAGAATAACTCAAACCGAGTAGGTCATCCACTTTGTTGAGCCCCAGAGCTATTGAATTAATTGATTTCCTTGCCGTGGAGTCGATTTTCTTCTTTATTTCATTTCTGAATTTCTTTCATTGAGTACATCATAATACAATTTTCAGAAAAGATGAAGCAACCAATCCAGGGGCTGGCATACAATTGTTGAGCTGTCACCCTATTTGACACGTCCATTCATTGGGATTTACCAAGCCAAATGCACTATATATGAGCCCATTTGTTTCGCTTATATTATATTATATTTCACACTTAAAGGGATGAGGACATTGGAAGAAAAAGTGATCAACTAGGACTAAGTCTTTCTGACTTTCGAAAGAAATTAACCGGAACAAAACAAATTTAAACCTGGTAGTATTTGCATAAGCCGCAGATTGTTTATCAAATCTGATAAAGTTCCACTATCAGACACCAACCTTGTATGCACAGTTGTCGATAGGATCGATTGGCCAATTGGGTGGGAAAGAGCTGACGGATGGGGAGTGATGAACACCGTCAGCAACGTCAGCCGACGGACTTGGACCGTGCGGAAATTCCACAGATTTCCATGCATCCAAAGTCATCTTTGGTACCAAACCGATGAATTCCAAAGCTCGTGCACTGTTTCTTTGCGATGCCATTTGTGTCAGTATAAGACCCCAAAAATGTGATCGGATCCAGTGGCACTACAAAAGGATGTTAGCAGGACCGTGATGTTTACTCAAATGTATCATCAAAATTAAAGTCACATTTTTACTATTGGAATTGCTAACAAGCTTCTCTTGTTCCCGTAGGATATTTACACATTTGAAACGTTTGACGGCGAAAATAAGCACATTAGATTTCCAATTAGGAGATAACGAATTTGCGTTTGTTTTTAGTGGGGTAAAAATATGGGGTGTATCAAGGTTTTGTTGGGTCTCCACTTGAAAGATTCAATAGTTGGTGCACAAACGACATGTTATGGAAGGGTGTTCCAAGTACACACTGTGCACACTGTGACTGCAAACGTTTGGCGCCGGCATTCCAGTCGACAATTTGGAACCAGTAACTTGAAACAGTGTCCCTTAAGGTGTACATTGTACGATAACATCAGCAACGGCCGACATGGTTGGTTTGGGTTCTGCAGTATTTGTTACGCCAAAATCAACTCTCCGCCAATTCGGGGATGCTGAGCGGAATATAGTCCCAATGATCGTAATCTCTCTTCATGAGTAAGGTAATACAATCCCTTGACCATCTTGATGGCCATCAATTGTGGGCAATCAAGCATCTTGCGTCACATTGCAAATATGGACTCCAGGCTTGGATGGCGTGCTCTGTGTAGGGTCGAATGTACACTGACAGCAAACGTGGGAACAGTGCTGGTTCGAACCGGCCAAAGACTCGCTTTACAGCATCGGACGAAGCCTTAGTGCAGTTGATGGAGCAGCTTAAATCTTTTTGAACAACACCTAAGTCCTTTTCACTTCACGTATGTGGTAGCTGCTGATTTCAGAGGAAATACGAGGGCGTATTATAAGGTGATTTAGTTAATATGATACTATTTATTCTGTGATGAATAAGGTGTGATAAGTTGTGTTCAGCTGAGGATTTGGTTTCAGGTTGATTACTGAGTTTCTAAAGCATATTTAATCTGCCGCTGTTCATAAATCAATTCTGTATTTCCATAGAATGAAATCTACTAAGACATTTTGGTTTGACTCGGATTGGAGCAATGACAGTTACGTGAACATCAGGAAGATATGAATTCCAAAAAGGTACAGTAATGGCCGATTGTGATGCACTAAAATATTTTCTTAATGATCAAAGGGACTTTCATTATATTTATCACCCATATTAATGCTTTAGGTANATTTATATCTTGTCTACTTCGATGTACGTAGTTTCTGGGCTGCATGATTGTCAATTAAACGTGCCTGACCTTGAGTGCCAAGAATAAATGATCTGAACATGAGAATCGCAAACTGTATCAAGTATAACAAGGCAATAATTTCTAATAAGAATGACTCAAGAATTATCCCAAA